TAGTATAGTATACTATATATATATATATATATATATATATATATATATATATATATATATATATATATATATATATATATATGTATATATATATAGCTTTTTGCTGAAAATACATTGCGTTGTATGCTACACTACATTTTTGGCAGACATGCCCAGGAATGACTATGATATAAGTATTTTTCAAGCTAAGTGAAGATGACTACTATATATTTAAATAAAACTAAGCAAATCAAAATGAAGAGTCTAATTATTCGCCATACCAGACTCTGTATGTTATTCGTTTAACCTTCATGACAGCGTAGTTTTTATATCGATGAAAGATACGGCAGAATAGCATGTCAAGTTCAAACGAATTGTCTACTAAAATGCGTTAACGTTTTTAAGGTCTCACAAAGTATTGTAGAACAATCATGCCGTTATTTCTACGTTTAAAATAAATTTCTTATTGTGGACAGAAATTTGCTCGGGTAAATATTATGGATGATATCCTTCTCAGACTCTATGAGAACGGGCGAAAAGAATTAGGCGGGCCAAAAAAAGATTCCAACATTTCGAAATTATGACATCATAAACCTTCAAAATGTTAACTATAAGAAATAATATATTGTGCTTAGTTTACTGCCAACTATTACAACATATGCATTTGTCACTAGAACAACTTTGAAATAATGTTCTCGAGCATCTTAGTAATTGTTTTGATTCGGTGGAAACATCACATATACACATACCCCATAACGTATAAAAGGAATGAATTACATCACTTCATAAACATAAAAGACAAATAAATCAGAGCCTAATCTATATCATAAACAAAAAAACTGTATGTACTGTCACACTTGTAAACAAAACCTTGCTCGTTATCTGCTATATTGATGTAAGGGTATGCTTTAGGGCACTAGGGTTGTGTTCTCTACTAGAAGGTGCATTACACAGGAATAAATAACGTCAAAGCAATATCTCTCTACTTACCGCTTCTGAGCGAAAACACGGCAAGAATAAAAAAAAGCCACATCAGTGACGTTTCCATGCTCCCAATCGTATTTTTGTGTAGCTTCAAAATTAATGTGAATCTGTACTGTACATCTCGATACATTTTGTAACCAGGTATAGAAAACATCCCTACCAAGAATGAAACAACAGTAGGACGTGAAGAGAGCTTAATCTTTCTCAGTGTGACTCTTGCATGTACCGAAATGGGAAATAAGTCTGTGTTTAGTCTTTGATGCCATAGTCCCTAGCCTAAACTTGCGCTTAGAAACGAAACGTAAGTCCCCGTGAGTTTTTACTTCATCCTTGCACTCATAACAACAGTACAAACCTACATCCATATGTCTTTCATCTTATTCCGTGGGTCGCGAATTGGATCTTCTATGTTCCTGGATCTTCTCTGGTATACTATCCCTTTATTTCCGCCAATTTATGGTTGTGATGAAAGAACTTTGCTATTCAGTCGTTTACCAACCCGATGAAATTATTTACGGGAAAAATAATGTAGTTATATCATTTAAGAATTTGTGTGCTACCCTTCATAAACGTATCGGTCTTTTGTGTAAGAGTGTGTTGTGTAAGAGTGCAACAATTACAGACCAATCCATGTTTGCCAGATGACTCGAGATACGAACGTCAATATAATTACTCAATATAATATGAACTGAATGTAAAAAAGGAAAGGCCTCGTAGTAAGGTTTTAGCGAGACCTTGTAGTAAATTAATGTAGCAAATAAAATGTACGTCATACTATCCATTAAAAGGAAAGTACGACGTGTTATTCTATTGTGTAAGAGCACAAGAGCGTTTGTAGCAATTATAGATGGAGCGCTATTCTTTTGTGCCTGAAGGCCAGCCACTTACAAAGATTGGTCATTACACGCTCTAATGACCCTGTGTTTGCGCTCTGACAAAAACAACCAACATCCTGTTGTTACAGAACGCGCCGGGAGACGACAAAGGCAAGATGGAAAAATTCATGATGTTGGTTGCAGGTCAGTCATGGTTTGTAAGTCCAGTTTTAATGTTATGCTGGACAAGGCAATGGCAGGACATGGGTCTCCCACCGGAGATGGGTGGAACTCAAATGATGGGTCTCCCACAAGTGTTTCCCTTGTTAAGTGTAAGAGCAAAACAAGCAATGCTGAAGTATATAATAATGTCAACTTGAGTAAAGCTAGTGAGAAACCTTACATGTGTGGAAGAGAGGTAACGAACTATTCTGCTGTACAGAAATCGACCTAAGTCCTCTCTGTCATAATATGTATTTCTCTTTGCACATTTCTGTCTATGCTTATATCAACTGGTACATTATCCTCCTTTAAGTAATGTACCCAAACTCCCCTGCAGTTTTTAGGACAAGCTGTAGGGGGGATCTAGGATCAGAATCACCTCACCTTAGCAGTCCCATAGCTGAATACGACCAGGGCAATAGCCTGGATGAACTTGACAACTCAATATTGATAGATTTGTTCAACAAATCAAGATAGATAGTCACTAACTTTACTCATATGATTGTTGTTTGAATCTTGTTAGGTGCAGTGGACTTAAATTTGTATCTTAATTGATAATTGAACACAATGGGTGTGAATCATTGATACAAGGCAATTCTTATTTTAATAATTATTTTCTTTTTTGACATTTACATGGTCGTGAATTTCATTAGGTGGATTCTCTATATAATTGTATGCAAAATCCATTAACATGTCATTTGCATGTAATTAAAACTTGTAATTAAAACTTCGCTATGTCATGTTGAAATTGCGAAGGTTAATACAGTGAGCCCTCATGTTGACTTGCATTCTTTCGTTGTGCTTGAAAGTCACACATATCTCGTCAGTCGAGGATACGGCTAGTCCTCACGCTTCCTTTCTGTTGGTTGGACATGGTAAAAAAAGAATTGTGATTATGAGAACCAATTTTCAGAATAAGATTATGTATGCCTAAGGTAAATCCTAACCCAAACATGATTATTTTGAAAGTCTAAGCGCTTAGAAATCAGGTAAATTTGTAGATGAAGATGCATGAATCCTCAATAATATAATGAAAAGTATGGAAGATTTACCACTATACAGACAAAACAGCAAAACTAACACTGCCTTAAATTGAATCTCTGTCTGTCTGTCTGTCTGTCTGTCTGTCTCTCTCTCTCTCTCTCTCTCTCTATATATATA